TTGAATTCAGATTTAAATATGACTATTTGCTTTTAAGTGACATTTATGATTTTTTTGGTCGATTTTTGGTGTTGAATAATTGAAATTGAAAAAAAATAATTATCAAAGGATTAAAAAAGAGAGCCAAAGAAAGATGATTATTACTTACAGAAAATAACGTGTTTGTCTTTTTTTATTATTATGATTATTAATTGTTGATAAAAAAAAAAAAAAAAAAAACAAAAAGAACTATAATCTACACACAGCCAACACAACTAGAAACGTCTTTGTGACAAAAATTTGCTCGCTCGGTTTTATATATATATATATATATAACATTTGTTAATATATACATATATTATACATATTAAAAAATCGGGGGCTTTCAAAAATCAGGGGCCTTGTGCGGTGGCACCACTTGCACACCCTCAGGGCCATTCCTGTGTGTAGGAGTATTTTAAACAGGTTGAGCTTTTAATACTCTCTTTACCCGACTAACTAATACAACCCACACACCCCGGTTTAGATAATACACGCTTAATTATACAATTGGGGAAAAAGAACACACATGTTCATGTGAAAATCCGACAACGCTATTTTCATCTTCTTCCCCCTAGGGTTCTTCTCTGCTATCTTCTCCAATGTTATTCTCTTCACTCGTCTCTCTCTCTCTCTCTCTCTCTCTCTCTCTTCCTCCTTATGTCTTCATCTTCTCTTTCTTGATATATTTCCTCTTTTATTAAATTTTTGTGGAAATTAGGTTATGAGTTGTTCCTTTTTGATTTTTTTCCTTGATGTATTGGAACAATAAATGCGATGTGTATCCAACTCAATAATCAAATTATCATCATGCGGCTAGGTATCCAACTCAATAATCAAATTATCATCCCAAGTCAGCGATTAGAACAATACATGCGGCTATGTTTTTCTTGCTAGAATTTTTTTCTAATGTTGGTGCTTTGTTGGTTTTGTTTTCTGGTTATATGAAAAAAATCTTGGCAAAAACAATTAATGAAAAATAAATTTTGTCATATGAATCTTATAAAAAAAAATTTGTGTCATTTGAATTTCAATTTCCACTTAATTATCAAAGATTTTATTGTAAAAAAAAGTCTGATCCGATGTTATCCGGAACAACACCAAACAGAGTATAGTTTAGTCAGACTGTTTATCCGGAACAGCACCAAACGCCTTATAATATTATGGATAACAGTCGGTACTCTTAGGAACAAATTAATACTATCCGACAGAAATTAGTCAGTACAGTCTAACGTACCAAACAAGCCCTAAATTTTTACTGAATGACGGCGTCGACCATTAACAATTTCCTCTTTATCTCTGGCCATCAAATTCCCTCATAATCAGCATCTCTCAAGGCAGACAAAGTGCGAAAGCTCAATCTGTTAGATTTCTTTATATACGTGTTTATGATCTTTCATATAATCTGAAATACGTAAAGACATACTTGGCACCATCTTTCTTGAGTACACGACCTCTGAACTTATTCAACCGCAACAGCAACAATCCTAGTAAGAACAAGAACGGCTCAAGACTTCTGCTCTTTCTTTATGACGAGATTAGGGTTAGAGAACGTGTCTGACGAGAGCAGGGTCTTAAGCTTATATAGGGCTAGGTCAAGTCGTCTCTACTCATCACCGAGGGCCGACTTGACTAATCTTCCAAGCCCACCAAGCAACGGTTCACGCAAAAAATGAAATAAATAGGACCCATTAATAGGCTTCAAGGTATAACCTAATTTACAACTCTTATCAAAACCTGATATAACTTAGTATCTAGTGCACCGATCTAAATAGCAACCTAACACAACTAATATGTGCAAAATTGTGAGTGAAAACAAATAGAAACCGACATGAGATAAAGTAAAAGACAACACCTATCAAGAACACCAAGATATATACTGGTTCAGTTTTATAGGCCTATGTTCAATTTGGAGACGATGGAGCAATCCACTGTATTCAAAGAGAGCATACAGTAGTGTTTATCACTCAATTTCCCAAGGACACAAATACACCCAAGTTCACACTCACACAAATATGAGATAACTAAAGAGAGACGAATTTTTGTCTCTACATCAAAGCTCTTACGCAGCATGAAATGAAGAAGAAAACAACTGGAATTTTATTCCTTCTCCTACAATACGTATACGTAGCAGCAACTCCTTTTCCTCTATGCTCTCTTTCTAATTTCTCTTCTTTTTCTCTCGGTATGCTTGTTAGAATCGGTGGCTCGATACAAGCTATGATGTGTAAGTCACACGTCAGAGAATATAGCAATAATCTACAATTCAAATATGTGGTCCACTCCTAATTGCAGAAAAGCCTTTTAAGTTAAAATCTCACACTTAGAGATTCATTGGGCCTAACTCAACCCAAAGATTGGACCTATGCGGTTAAAATGATGACATATTAGAGCATAGTTTGGACAGATATGAACTCCTTTTTGGCCCGTTTGTAGGACACTACCTTCACACTAGTCTTACAATTAAAATTTTTTTTTTTTTTTTTTTTTTTTTTTTTTTTTTTTTTTGGGGGGTACGCAGAACACAACAACACTACTTTTTCTTCCTTACACATTTTTGCTACAAAATACTCTCTCCTTTTTTTTTTTACCCACCTGTGTAGTCAAAAGGAAAAAAGCCATATGCACATAATGCTGCCAATCAACTTTGCTTTCCCACTTTGTCAATGCTGCGATGGATTACACTTCCCATTGTCGGCTACTATGCTGGAGACTCACCCATCATAAAACCAAACATGCTATATATCGGTGTAGACAATATTAATGCTTAATCTTATCCATATCTGCAGTATTTAATGATATTTTTTGTCAAAGTTAGAAAGAAGGAGAATTTTCTTAAGCACACCGGGTCACATTATCCATATCTATCGTATTTAATGATTTTTGTTTGTCAAAGTTAGAAAGAAGAAGGAGAATTTTCTTAAGCACACAGGGTCACATTATCCATATCTATCGTATTTAATGATTTTGTTTGTCAGAGTTAGAAAGAATAAGGGGAATTTTCTTAAGGGTGATTTTATTAGCACCCCAAAATTTGCTCTTTGCACCCCACATTCTCCTTACACCCCACTGAATTTTAGTAAACTTTAAAATTACTCACTACACCTTATTTTCTTCCTAGATTGCCCTCATGAACCCCATTCCTTAACCTACCTGTGTAAACCCCACTGAAATCGTTACCTTGTTCAGTGGTAGTCCATTGAATTTGTTTTCATTTTTTAGTGGCTATCCACCGAATGTGTTTACGTTTTTCAGTAGTAGTCTACCGAATCTGTTTCAGTTTTTTAGTGGTAGTCCACCAAATATGTTTCCGTTTTTCAATGGTAGTCTACTGAATTCGTTTTTTGTTTCATGAATTCGTTTCTTGTTTCAGCGATCATCTACAGAATTCGTTATTGAGTTTATACTTAATATTGTTTTTGACTAGGAATGTATATTGTTTTTTACTAGGAATGTGAGCAATTTAGGTGCATGTCGAAGACGTCTACCCTTTGTTAGTGAAATTGGTGTGCTAATCCAAATAATTGTATATTCAAATGGTACATTCAGAGGTCTGGATTAGAGCAACTTAGTAGGTGTTCTTATCGAAACGCAGATAAGATTGTTGTATCTACCTTCGTTGAGAGGTGGCATCTCGAAACGAACATTTTTCACATGCCTTTTGGTGAGATTATCGTCACATTGGATGATGCGTCATCTATTTTAAGGTAGTCACCTTGTTTTGTTCCTTTAATGGAAGTAAGGTCAAAATAGCTTACATTAAATTTGTGGTTGACAATAAGTTACTGAAAAAATAAATATATTTCAGTTTGTTGCCACTGAATTGTAGGTAAAATTTGGTAATACACTACCGAACACCGTTCCACGTTATGGTGGATCTCCACTGCATCTGAAGTTAACGGCCAATCAAACACAACCGAATTAGGTGCAATGTTTTGGTGGCATCCCACCAAGTTTACCTATTACGTTCGGTACTGGTGTGTTGAACGCCAAAAATAAACTTATACCTATTTCGAAGCCTCTCTAACTTCAATCTCACCCCTTCATGAATAAATATAAGATATTTTTTTCATCAATATAAGTGTATAAACCTCATTAGGGTTGTAGGAACATGATGGTTTGAGAAAAAAGTCTAACTAGGGTTGCAGGAATATATGTGGGGTGTAGTGAGCAAATTTAATTTTTATTAAAATGCTTTTGTTGTCTTTAACGGTAATTATGTACAAGGGTTAAATAAATTATTCATGTTTAAAATTAGTATAGGGTGCAAAGAGCAAATAATGGGGTGCCAATAAAATCTCCTTTTTCTTAAGAACAACAGGAAGCATTCACAATCATTAGTGTTTGTACCATATCTGACCACCCACTCACGTTGTGACACGTGGAACGCCCTCAAGCCAGAGACCAGCTCAACTGGGCCATACCGAATGTTCTCTCGACACTCAGTACCGATTCAGGGGGTCGATAACGCAGCATCACTACCTACGCCAACCTTCGGTATTGTCTATCAAGGGACCAACCATCACATCAATCCGATTCTGACATATTACCTCAGAGTTCCTGCTAGAGCTTGTCAGAATCACGTGTCGACCTCCGAAGACACTTCCACGAGTCCCACATCAAAACTAAGTGCTAAGAGCATCACAAATGCTCTCTATAAATAGAGCCCCTTGGTCCAGCCAAGTGGTAAGACTTTCTAACTTGATTAGTGCTTCCACTATCAATAGAATCGCTCTTAGTTACTAACTTTGGCATCGGAGTACCTTCGGCAGGTACCACACTGATATCCCCTCCTCAGATCGGATCCAGCCCCTACTCAAACCTTGGGACATCCCAGAAGAAGGTCACTCCGGTCCTCGACCATCAGTACACTTGTAAGTTAGCCTAAACTCTTATCTGTTCAGATTTAGCGCGAACAGATTGGCGCCGTTTGTGGGAAACCGATTGAAAATCAACCCATATCTCCCTTTTACTTCTAAACTATGAATCCGCCTTCGCCCCTTGCGGCCGACGGTCCCATCCTCAGCCTCTCTGGCCGAGAGAACCTTGCTGTACCGCCCGGCACACCCCGAGTGGAAACGCCCGGTTGGCAGAGCACCCTGGAAGATAGGATGGAAACCCTGCAGCGGGAAATGATCAAAATGCAGGAACACAAAAATATCCTCTCCTCCAAACTGGACGACACCCAGAAACAGCTGCACGAGCAACAATCATGTTCGGCCCAGTTGCAGGATAGTTTGGAACAAACCGCGCAGCTTCGGCAGGAACAACCACTAAAGAATGTATCAAAGCCTAACAAACAAAGGGCTGGAAAGTGGCCGGCTCAGGGCGGACCGTTCGCCTCCCGAAGGCTGTTCATACCAACTTCGGCAGAACGCCACCGGGAATACCAAGTCTACTCCGACTACCGCGATAGAATCAACGACCAGCGTCGGGAACGGCAGACAACACCAATTCCCGTCCAAGCACAACTCAACGATCGGCATCTGGACGTACTCGGACGAAAATCTCCCATTCGACGGAGGTACGACATGATCGGCCTAGAGGAGATAGACGAATCTGACTACGTTCTGACCTCCCTCGGCACGACGCCCTCACGCCAGTCGGCGACATCCGGATATGCCATAAGGAACGATAGGCGGCAGGGACGTCCGACGGAGGACCACGAGGCACAAGGACACAAGGGTCGCCTCCTAACCGGCCCCCAAGCAGCAGAACCCTTCGGGACTGACCTCCCTCCTCCTTCAAAAGGTCAGTCGGATCGAGGAAGAGTATAATCAGATCCCATGATCATCCAAACCCCAACATGGGGAAAGGTACAATCGGGACCATTCACCAGCCGAATCCAAGTCTACCGACCTAAAAAAGAGGTACAAGCCCTCCAAATCTCATTCTACTCAGGAGTGGAGGACCCCCGTCACCCATATCCATACATTTCAATCGACCTTGGGTTGCAAGGGACTTATCGATGAAGGCCAATGCCTGTTGTTCCCATCTACCTTGGCTGGGGCAGCTCTTAATTGGTTTTATCGGCTGGAACCAGGTATGGTAGACTCTTTCGACCAATTAAAAAAAATTTCCTCAATCATTTTATGATACAGACCGATCGTCTATACTCTACCGACAACCTCTACACCATTCGGCAAGGAGACAATGAACCCCTTCGGGAGTACGCGGCCAGATTTAGCCACGAGTACTCTCGATGCCCGGAAACCGACGACCGAGCAGCCTTCGGCGCCTTCAAAAGTGGCATTCGAGCCTCATAATTTCGCTACCTAGTGCACAACAACAATTGGACCACCTATGGCGAACTCATGAAGCAGGTAGCCATTCACGCCAAGGCCGAACACTTCAACTCCAAAGGATTGCCTTCGGCATCTATTGGCCCGTCGACAAACACAGGTCAGCCTTCGGCATCCACTTATGACCGTTTTCCTCCACATCAGACCGCTAACCAAGCTCCCTACCGAACGGCACCCACTGTACCCACACCTTACACAACCGGGGACAAGCGAAGTGACTCGTTCCAGGGTCGGCAGGACAGAGGCAAACGCAATAAGGAGTCGGGTGGTCGAAACTTCCGAAGCACCAAAAGCGACCGACCGCCAGAGGTCTTCACCATTCTCAACTCGACTTACGAGCATGTCCTCATGGCCGAGAATCAGATGATTCCGAAGCCAAGCCTCTGGAAGCTCCCTCGGCAAGTCGACAAGGACACCGGAGTCTTCTGCCGATACCACTAATACAATGGCCACGATACCGAGTCCTGCATCGCCCTTCGAAGGATCGTTGAGAAACTGATCAGCGAGGGCAAACTAGACCAATATCTGAACACGCAATTGGGCCCCGAGCACCAGGGGAATCGGCATATCAACATTATCAGCGGCGGTACACCGATTGCTGACTCCAGCTGTCGGTCCGTCAAGAGTTACGTGCGTGCCGTTCGGCGATTCGGATGGGAACCCATCACCTTTTCCGAAGAAGAAGAGAAGGGCATCATCTTCCCCCACTCCGATCCCCATGATCATTCGAGCAGACATTGCCGATTTCGATGTAGGTCGAATCCTCATCGACACCGGAAGTTCGATCAACGTGCTCTTTGCCGATGCTTTCAACGGCCTCGGAATCGACCATCAAAGCCTCAACAGGGAGATCACTCCTCTTCTAAGCTTCTCAGGCGATGTGGTCGAGCCAATCGGAAGCATTCAGCTTCCCCTTGCCATCGGCTCCAGCCCCAGAAAGGCTTTCATCTACACTCACTTCCTAGTAGTTAACTGTCCAACCGAGTACAACGCCATCATCGGCAGGCCCGCCCTCACCCGAATGAAGGCCATTTTGTAACCACATATGCTGTTGCTCAAATTCCCTACACCCTCGGGAATCGGCCAGGTTCGGAGGGACTAATTGAGCGCTCGGATATGCTACGTATCATCCACGGAGGAACCGACAACCCGAGCGTCAGGGCATAGGGCACCCGAAACACTGGCCGTTACCCGCCCAAGCAAAACACTGGCCCTCAGAAAGGCCGTTACCCGAAACACTGGCCGTTACCCGACCGAACGTCCGGATGATACCCGGGACGACAACGTGACACCACAAGCTCAACCTGCCGAAGAGCTCGAAACGATCTCCATCTCCAACAAATAGGATCGGTAGGTCCGAATCGGTACCTCCCTCAGTCCGTCTCTCCCAGCCGACTTCATTACCTTTTTGAGGGCCAATTCGGAAGTTTTCACCTGGTCTTACAACGATATGCCTGGCATCTCCCTGACGTCATCAGCCACAAGCTCAGCATCTCCCCCTCTTTCAAGCCAGTCCGACAGAAGAGACGATTCTATGATGCCGAACGATACGAGGCTATGAAGACCGAAGTAGACAAGCTTCAGGCAATCGGCTTCATCCGAGAAGTCACCTACCCCATTTGGCTCGCCAACTCAGTCTTGGTGAAGAAATCCAGTGGCGCCTGGCGAATGTGCCAGGATTACACTGATTTGAACAAAGCATGTCCGAAGGATAGCTTTCCGCTGCCCAGAATCAACCAACTGGTGGACGCCACGGCTAGCCATGAGCTTCTCAGCTTCATGGACGCCGACTCCAGCTACAACCAGATTTTCATGCATCCCACGAATCGTGAACATACGACATTCATTTCCGACAAAGGGCTTTATTGCTACAACGTCATGCCGTTCAGCCTAAAGAATGCTGGAGCTACATACCAGCGGCTGGTCAACAAAATCTTTGCCGAACTCATTGGCACTTCAATGGAGGTCTACGTAGACGATATGCTGGTCAAAAGTCAGACCGCCAGCGATCATCTTCGGAACCTCTCCCTCATGTTCGGCAAGCTGAAGCAATACAACATGCGTCTGAACCCGAGCAATTGTGCCTTCGGCGTCTCTTCTGGCAATTCCTGGGCTTCATGATCAGCCAAAAGGGGATTGAAGCCAACCCCAAGAAGATCCGAGCGCTCATCGATATGCAGGTGCCAAGGATGAAGAAGGAGGTTCAGAGCCTCACCGGCCGAGTAGCCGCCTTGGCCCGTTTCATATCAAAAGCCACCGATCGGTGCGCCCCTTTCTTCAAAGCTCTCAAAGGAAGCAAACGGCAGGTCGATTGGACTTCCGAATGCGACCAAGCGTTCGAAGATCTGAAAGCCTACATGAGCAGAGCCCCTCTGCTGTCCACCCATCTTCCCGGACAAGACCTCATCATCTATCTCTCGGTCTCGGCATCGGCCCTGAGTTCCGTGCTGATCCGTAGACCGAACGGCATCGAACTCCCCATCTTTTATATGAGCCATGCATTGCAGGACGCCGAGCAATGGTACCCTCAACTTGAATAGCTGGCCTACGCCCTCATCCTCTCTGCATGCAGGCTTCGGCCCTACTTCCAGGCTCACAGCATCGACGTGTTGACCAATCAACCCCTACGGCAGGTCTTGCAGAAGCCAGAGACATCAGGACGACTGATCAAATGGGCCATCGAGCTTGGTGAATTCGACATCAGGTATCACCCTCGGCCTTTCGAAAAAGGACCGGCCGTGGCCAATTTCATCTCAGAATTCACACTTCCACCCAAGGACGATCGACCAACTGACCCTGTCACGACACCACTTTCGGCATCTGCAGAACCACCTTCGGCTGACAACACGTTCGATCAAAAAAGCCCTCACTGGACATTATACGTGGACGGCTCATCCAATCGGCAGGGTAGCGGCGCTGGCTTAGTCCTCAAGATTCCGGATGACACCACAATCAAATATGCTATCCGCTTCCAATTTCATGCTTCCAACAACGAGGCCGAATATGAGGCACTCCTAGCAGGACTTCGGCTTGCCCAAAGTCGGGTGCCAAACGACTGATGATATGTAGCAACTCCCAACTCGTCATCAACCAGGTAATCACCGAATTCGCAACAAAAGACGAATCGATGGCTGCCTATCTCGTGCAGAACTGCCGATTGCTCAAACAGTTCAAAACCTACTACATCCGCTAGGTCCCCAGATCTGAGAACAGCCATGCCAATGCTCTCTCTAGGCTCGCTTCGGCAATCAACGACCGTGTCGGTCGTCGCGTCCCCATCGAAGTTCTCGCTCGGCGGAGCACGATCGAAGCTGATGTCAACACCGTCCGTCAGGATCCTAGTTGGATGGACCCGATCCATGCCTACCTCACCGACGATACCCTACCAACTGACAAAACTGAGGTAAAAGCAGTACTACGACGATTGGCTCGGTACCTTCTTTTGCAAGGCGTCCTCTATCGGCGCAGCTACTCTCTACCTTTGCTAAGATGTGTTGCACCACGACAGGGAGACTACATCTTGCGTGAGATCCACGAAGGTGCGTGTGGTAATCACTTGGGATCCTGATCCTTGGCCTTCAACGCCGTTCAGCAAGGCTATTATTGGCCGACTCTCCACGCTGACGCCACCCAGATTGTGCAAAAGTGCAATCCGTGCCAACGTTTCGGATCTGTATGGAAATCCCTGCTAAACCACTCAATCCGATGGTTAGCCCATGGCCATTCGCCCAATGGGGACTTGATCTCATCGGCCCCATGCCACCAGGCAAGGGCCAACTTAAGTTCACAGTCGTAGCCGTCGATTACTTCACCAAGTGGACCGAGGCCGAAGCCCTCGCAACGATAACGGCAGCAAAGTTCGAACACTTTGTATGGAAAAACGCCATCGTAACGGACAACGGTAAGCAATTCGATTGCTCTCGATTTCGACATCTCTGCTCCCGATTCAACATCAGCATCGTCTTTGCATCTCCGGCACATCCACAATCCAACGGACAGGTCGAAGCCATCAACAAGATCATTAAGAAAATGCTGAAGAAGAAGCTAGGAGCCGCCAAAGGCAATTGGCTTGCCATGCTACCGGGTGCGCTCTGGGCCATTAACACCTTCTACCGAAGGTCGATTGGTGAGACGCCGTTCTCCTTAGCCTTCGGTACCGAAGCTGTGGTATCGGTGGAGGTACATGCGCCCACATGCCGAACGGCATCTTACGACCCTCAGCATAATGAACAGCGGCTCGCCCTCAATCTGGATCTCATTGACGAACACCGATCGCAAGCACAGCTCCGGAACGCTACCTACAAACAACGAACAGCTCGGTACTACGACTCGCGCGTAAAACACCGATCTTTCAAGGTGGGGGATTGGGTTCTGCGTAAAGTGTCTCGGCCCCTCCTAGGAATGACCCTATGAAATTGTCAGTATCTGCCGACCCGGCACCTACCGATTGCGTGACTCCGATGGTCAAACCCTCGGAATGTTGAACCTTTGAAATACTATTACAAGTGACTGGACCTTCGGCCACTACACTTTTGTACACCTTAACTTTCAAACAGCAGTATATATGCTTATGTCCTATTTCTACGCAATTTGGCATACATACTAATTATATTCGAAAAACAAATACTGAAGCTGATTCAAAATAGACATTGGATATAAATTAAAGCCTCAAACTGGGCAATTGTCTTTACAAAACAAAGTGGTAAATTACAAACTAAGTGGTAAGGCAGGAGTTAAGGAGTAGGAGGATCGTCCTCGGCGGCAGGTGGGGCTGGCACTTTGGTATCTCGAACTCTCGATGGCTCGGGAGGTGGAGTAGCTTCTTCTTCCTCGCTGCCCGACTCCGAGCCGCTCGAGGTCTCAATTTCGGCATCCTCCCCGAGGTACGCCTCCACCATCTCCTCGGTCACCCTCTCGGGCAACGGTGGCGGGTCCCGGAGGAAGTTTAGGTTCAGATTTTTATCTGCGTTAGAACGCTTGAACCGGTGGATGAGGTCCTCGCACTGCACCATCACCTCCTTGTCCAGGAACGCCACGAACTCAGGCGAGTCTCGGTACTCAGCTATGGCCTGTTTCTTGGCCCCCTCTACCTCCGTCGCCCGAGACCGAAGCGAGGCCTTCTTCGCCATCTCTACCCTCGCCCTCGCCTCTTCGGCATCCATTTCCGCCCTCTCTGCCTCCGCCAACCTGGAGGATAGCTCGGCAATCTTGGCGGTGTTCTCCTCCGCGTGCCAATCCGCATCCTTTAGCAGTTTACCAGCCTCTGCAACTTTGGCTCGGCCGTCCTTATATTTTTTCTGGACACGCTCGACCATATTGACAGCCCGCTTCATGCCGAGCCACATCTCCATGTTCGCCTACAAACACAAAACCATGTTAGCATTACCGTCGCCACAAACACTTGGACAAAACTGAAGGAAATACACTTACGGCAGCCCAAGAGCTGATGTTCATCTACATTCTTCTAAGTTCATCTAGGTTCCTACATGTTCATACGTGTTCATGCAAATATACAAGCATTGATTCATACTGAGAAGGAAAACATCAACTTACCTTGTTTCACACGGTGGTGGAAGCTGCCAGAAATCGCTCCGCCTTCGGGAACCCTCGACGGAAATTGCCTATAACGCCGCAATGCACTTGCCAGAAATCGCCTCTTACAAGCTCCGTTTGCTCTCAAAAACTCAAGTACCTCCTCCTACCGTCTCTTCCTCCTTTTATAGGACGAGCCTAGCATCGGGAACCGAAACGTCACAACTCTTCGCAGCCTTGCCGACACGTGTCACCCATGCACAGGGGAGCCCAAGCGCTCTCACCTCCCCACTTGCGCCTACACTTCAACGTTTCTACTTCTCCATTCTTCTCCTTTTTTAGGCAAAAAGCACAACTTTCTTCGAGAACGGCAGGCACGCTTGGGTCGAGTTCTCACTCACCTCTCGTGCCGAACGGCAGGCACGCGTGGGTCGAGTTCTCACTCACCTCTTGTGCCGAACGGCAGGCACGCATGGGTCGAGTTCTCACTGACCTCTCGTGCTGAACAGCAGGCCCCCTAACTCATCCTTTATGCGCTGTTCACCCACCTTCGGCTCTGTCTGCCGTTCCCTTCCAATCTTCAAACCAACCCCTTGGCTTGAGGACTTGGGGGACTACATGATCACCACCGGCTTACAAATGACAAACGCTCGTTCCCGGGTTAGAATGCCGGAGCTCAGGGGCACAAGCAAGTCCCCAACCAAGAAGTCCCTCCTCAATCGAAAACTTGGGGGACTACTGTTTGTACCATATCTGACCACCCACTCACGTCGTGACACGTGGAACACCCTCAAGCCAGAGACCAGCTCAACTGGGCCATACCGAATGTTCTCTCGGCACTCAGTACCGATTCAGGGGGTCGATAACACATCATCACTACCTACGCCAACCTTCGGTATTGTCTACCGAGCGACCAACCATCACATCATCCGATTCTGACATATTACCTCAGAGTTCCTGCCAGAGCCTGTCAGAATCACGTGTCAACCTTCGAAGACACTCCCATGAGTCCCACATCGAAACTAAGTGCTAAGAGCATCACAAATGCTCTCTATAAATAGAGCCCCTTGGCCCAGCCAAGTGGTAAGACTTTCTAACTTGATTAGTGCTTCCACTATCAATAGAATCGCTCTTAGTTACTAACTTTGACATCGGAGTACCTTCGGTAGGTACCACACCGGTATCCCCTCCTCAAATCGGATCCAGCCCCCGCTCGAACCTTCGGACATCCCGGAAGAAGGTCACTCCGGTCCTTGACCATCAGTACACTTGTAAGTTAGCCTAAACTCTTATCTGTTCAGATTTAGCGTGAATAATTAGTATGACATTATAATGGAAAATTATAAATTAATTTCCATTTTCCTATCAAATCAATATTTTCAAAAGGTGACTTATAGTCTTCTAAGAAAAGTCGATTAAATATTATTGAATATTAAATAAGTAGAAGGAAGACCAAGACCTAGGTCTGCAGTCACATATATTTAAGGTTTTTATTTTTTCCTAACTATATTGTTCTGTTTTTTCTACATTCACACTTGACCAGCATGTGCTCTGAATCTGATTAATATATATGAGTCAATAACGACATGACACAGTATCAGCTACTTCAATTAGACTGGACCACATTATTGTAGACACTTTCAATTAGTGATGAAAGTGTGAACGCATTTTCCATTATCACCCAATTTTTCAAAAGAATTTGGATGAAAATTAATAAGATATAAGTTGTATTGAATAAAACAGTCCCGCTCACTTAAGGATTTAAAAATAAGGCCATGTGAGGTCCTATTTAATAAAGGCCATTGGATTAAGGGCTAGTTTGGAATTGTTGTTACTTTTAAAAAAATTGCTTTTGCTGTGTTTTGAAAATAATTAGCTGTAAAATAAAATAGCTTCATATTTGGTAAACAATATTTTTAAAGTATTGTTAATAAAAAAAACAGTATTAAAACCATTTAATAAATTTAAATCTAAAACTGTTATAGATAGTCTTGCCAATATATATGAATATTTTAGTCATCCTCGAATAGACTATTTTGCCAACCAATCCGTTTTATTTTTCTTGGCATTGTGCAAGAGACCAAACAAAAGTCCTCAGCAGGATTTCCAATAATTTCTTATGTCTTACAAAAAAAATAATTAATACACAATGTTATTATGATAATTGAATGAGACATGAACGTTGTTTTCGTGTACCATGGACAGTGAACACAATAAATTGACATCAAAGATTTATATGATACATATTATATAAATAAAGTTTGTTTCTACTTTGCACAAAAATAAAAAAATTAAAATTAAATTGAAATGGTTATGAGTTACTTTCTATCAACCTTTTTCATATTGACTTGGTGCTCATTTTGATTCCAATCTGTTTACTTTTTAGTTATTATATGTACATATAAGATGTGATGGTTTTGTTTGCTTCTTGCACTTCCTTTTCAATGTTTAGTTTCTTGGGTTTTTTTTTCCACTTCTGTATAGTCTGCATCAATCAATTGGCACAACTTTCATTTCTTTCAAATAGGGAAGTTGGCCAATGATTATTCTCCTAGTTCATGTGAAGCGGTGCCAAAAAAGAAAAAGAAAAAAAAAGTTGATGCGAAATTAAGTTCATAATTTCGGCGAAACCTATAGTTAGTGTTCTATTAACTCAATAATTAGTTAGCAGTTTTTAAGTGGTTATTTCTTGAAGTCAATTTCAGTACATGCTGTCAAAATTGGTTTTTTTTTTTTTTTTTTTTTTTTTTTTTTTTTTTTTTTTTTTTTTTTTTTTTTTTTTTTTTTTTTTTTTTTTTTTTTTTTTTTTTTTTTTTTTTTTTTTTTTTTTTTTTTTTTTTTTTTTTTTTTTTTTTTTTTTTTTTTTTTTTTTTTTTTTTTTTTTTTTTTTTTTTTTTTTTTTTTTTTTTTTTTTTTTTTTTTTTTTTTTTTTTTTTTTTTTTTTTTTTTTTTTTTTTTTTTTTTTTTTTTTTTTTTTTTTTTTTTTTTTTTTTTTTTTTTTTTTTTTTTTTTTTTTTTTTTTTTTTTTTTTTTTTTTTTTTTTTTTTTTTTTTTTTTTTTTTTTTTTTTTTTTTTTTTTTTTTTTTTTTTTTTTTTTTTTTTTTTTTTTTTTTATAATGATGGATTCTGGGCTTGTGTATGACTGGGTGTTCCTATGAAATGATCAACTATTGTGTAAAGCAGAGTATTAACTCCATCTTCTATACCTTGTCCTAAATTCTCATCAAATAAAGGAAGACCTTCTTCATTACGCTTGACTGCATGGATTATATTTGATCTAGACTCATCACTTAAGTGTTTATCCCACCAAGAACGTAAGGTTCCGGTGAAACCTGTTTCTATTAAAGGCACAATTTCAGACTGTCTAAAACTGTGATTAGTGATATAACTATTGGCAACCATGGACATATGGGTTAACTTATTCATTATTTCTTGTTCTGACAGACTGTCTATATTCCATTCATACAACTTATCATAAGAGACTGAAAATTGACTCAAATTATTCCTTTCTTCAAACTGGATATCTAAGGGTGTTGTCTTAGGATACCAGTTCTTAGTTAAACTAGTAGCGTTGACTCTGTTTGTTAACCGTTTAACCTTTAACTCCGAATCTAATTCCAAATTTTTAAATGCATTTTCAATTTTTGAAATATTACTAGATTCTTCAATTTCCATACTATCAACTGACTCAGTGTCGGAAAGGGTGACTAAAGATGCATTAGATCCTAGAACTTTAAGACCAGATTTCTCAGTTTTAACCGGGGTTAACTGCTCAAGCATTTCTTCTATTTTTTTCATGGTAGGTTTTGTCTAAAGGGTAGGATGCAACTGTAAATCTTGAAATTTAACTAAGGGTTTTTCTTTCAAAGGCTTAGAGCTTGACTCAAGGAGGAGTTTGTCTACTTTAGTTTCTATTTTATCTAATTGGTTCCCAATAACTATTAGACTTTGATTCGTATAATTATTTTGCTCAATTACTAATTTATCATCATTAGCTTCTGGGAATTTAAAGGGACTGGCAATTATTTTGGTTTTTCTATGATTGATAACTATTGTTTCTACTGGGGGATGACTAGATATGACTTCAATGTTGTCTACTTTTTTCCATTTTTCTTGGGTTAAAGTTTTTAACTCATTTGGCATATAACGACTTTCAGCAAAATCTAAGTAAAAAATTTCTAACTTGGCTGACCACATATAATCTTTCCATTCATTAAAGATTTGCTGTCTTTTTTCACGACTATTGTAGGCTGTGTGGTAGCTATTTCGCCTGTCTTGATTCTCAGGAGCTTGAAGATGACTTTCTAATCTTTTCCAATTAATTTTGAATTTCCTATTAAGGGTTCTTAATTGATTATCTACAACAACTGGGTAGAGATCTGTCTCAAAATCAGTTTGTGTGGGTGATTCAGGGGATTCAGATTTTTCTTCTTTGACTGGTTGCTTATTGTAGCAAGGATGACTGACCTGGGAAGTTTTTCGTAAAGATTCTAATTTAAAATCTATCATTGTTTTTTTCTAACACTAGGTCTCGTTCTGGAGTGGAAGAAGAAGCTGCGAATGAATGTCTAGCAGGGATATGTCTCTGGGATTGACCAGGTGTGGGCAACTAGTGTAACTGGACTGTAGATTTTTGTGGTGGTTGATTACCAAAGTTAATTTTAACTATGCCGTCCAAATATTGTTGAATATAATCTAAATTATTTAGACTATGTTGAATTGGGGCAGGCTGATTCTCAGTGGTGAGTGTCCAATCTATAGGAAGGGTGACATCTCACCATTTAATTGTGTGAGGGACTCGTATATTGGCCTCAGGTTTGCTACTTTGAATTAACAGAGTTTGATCTTTTGGACTTGTATTAAGAGCTTGAAAATTCATATTAGTTCCTGTGACTTTATAATAAATTCTATAAACTAGGGGCAATGGTTGAGTGCCTGGTAAAACCTCGTATCCTGAAGTTTTGATATTTAAAGTTAATGTTTTTAAAATATGGGGATCACTTAGACTTACTGTGAAATCAGGGTAACAATCAAAATATACTGGACCATTAAACAAACTTGATTCAATTATTCCTAGTGTAATATCACTAAAATTAGTGAATCTAGCATCAGATGCCAAGCCACGGGGATGGAGTTTCTAACTCGGGAGAACTGATTTATCCATCAATTAATCAAGGGCATGTTGTTGCTGATAATTTCAGATATTTATTAGTAACTAGAAAGACTTTGATAGTCCTCCTTAATGAATTGATGATTGAATTTTAAGTCAGGTCCTGTTTCTAATTTGATAGCGGGACCAATTTGGATTTGTAGTTTTTCTTTCCTTTCTACTTTTGAGATTTTACTTTCAATCAGAGTTTCGGCTGGATCTTGATTGTGGAGTCAATTACGACCTTTAGATCATCTCATTGAATTGATTGAAAATACGGGATACCTACACTACACTACATTGGATTGCATCACAGCAGATTCCCTAACGCACGCAGGCCAATTAAACTGTCCGTATTTTTTTGGTCGTTAGATGGATCCTTGAGATTACTTGATGGATACACAGAAGAAAATATGGTAATATATTTTAAAAATAAATTTTTTTAATTTTATATAGGAGTCGGAAAATGAGTAGGTTTATGTTTAGTATGAGTTACACGGATCTTTCTATTAACAACTTCGGTTAATTTATACATCCACTTGGCCCAAATTAAACTACACTTAACTTTCATGCTTGTAATTTGATTAGCTAGATACCACAGTTGAGCCAAACATCAAATATTCAATATGGTAATGTTACATATGAAAAGGAAGATCCAAATAATCCAGGTTTTAAATAAACTAAAGATAAAACTAAATTGCTGATCAAAGAGATGCATGGAAGATATGAGGAACATTAACATGATAATCAGTGATGAAAGCGACTGGTATCTTGTAGATGTGCACCACAA